GCTCTGTGTCGCTGTCATACGAAACCCGGTGGGAGCCGGTTTGTTGTTTCAGAGTTTCCCTGTCAGACCTTGCAGCAGGTCTGGCTTATCTCTAGCTGCCTGCTGCTGAGTACCGGGGACGGCGGCCTGCACAGCTGGGCGCTGCTGAAGCTGGTGGGAGGGACCCAAGTTCCTGCCAAACTCTGGGTGCTGGGGTGGGGGGGCTCAACCTAAGCTGTCCCTTCCTTCCCAGTGTCTTTAGCACTGCCCCAGTGTCTTCCTTTCTGCTCAGTTGGCTGTTTGTGCAGGTCCCTATTCATTTGTGTCCAGTGAAGTTTTGGTTGTACCCTAGGCCGGGGGGATTACTGTAAGGCTATAAACAGGCAGTCCTTAATGCTTAATCAGCAGATTGGTTCAGGGTATCACTGCTATCAAAACGGGTGCTGACAGGTGCAGCTTATATGATAATTTATTCTTTTTTCTAAGGCAAAGTGTTAATTCAGGTACTTCAGAGGTACTTGATGTCCAACTGTGGGCTTGTCCCTCTAGGGCCTGTCGTTCCCTCTAAGATGCAACGCTCACATTGGAATCAAGCTGGTTGTTTGTTTTAGCCCTGTCAGTTCCAGGTTTTATTTAATGCTTGTGTAGATGAAAGCAGAAAACTGCTGCTTGTTTCACGTCTAATCTACCAAAAGAACTTGCCCTTGTTTTTTAGCACTTGCTTGTGTTAATACTAAATTAGATGGTAAAAGGCTTAAGATACTTGGGAGCTGAGGGCTAGAAATCCTTGCATGGCTTGACAAAACAATGTCTGTTAATCCAGTTGTGCATGTTGTTTGGGGAAAAACAAGCTATCTTTTTTGCCTGCTTTTAAGAATGAATTCCAGCAAGCCGGCAGGAATATTCTAGGAGGTGATTCTAAGTCTTTGTACTTTAGTGGGGACTAGACTGGGTCCTCTTGGATGGTATTTCCATTGATTGTGGGGCTGTTGATTTTGAAACTATGGATGAGTAATGTTTGAATTTTTTAAAATCGAAGCCTTGATTTAATCATAGTTTTCTACAAAATGTGCATTCTTGTTGCTGATCTCTATTCATTTAACTTCTTGAAACTTTGCACATTTAGAGAGAGGTAAGGGCTTGACTTTGTGTACACAAACTTGCAGAGACTAGAGGGGTGATGGGTAGATACTCAGGTCTGTTATCTCTCATCTCCATATAGCACTGTTAACAAGGATGTTATCTGGAGATAGGCAGGCCAGGTTCTTTGGGTAGATGTGATATCTTTTATTAGACCAGTTAAGTAGTTGGGAAGATATTTGTAGCATTTGTAACATTTGGCAATTTGTGTAACAAGTTCTTTGCAAACTTTCCGGTGCAATCACCCTTCAGGCATAGGGAGACTCCAGAATCTCTTGTGTAGTTGAGATAAGTAGAGAGCTGTTTGATACACCCCATTTAGATGCATGTTAGTAAGCACTGTTTGATGTTAATAATCTCTTAAATGAAACTAGTACTTTTACCAGGGTAAAAAACCCATAATTGTACTGTTTCAGCTACATCAAGGACTACACCTTCCCGTCTGCTTTCTCTGCCATAACATAGCGAGGACATCAGCCCTACTAGTCTCCTTTCCAGATATAGAAGAGCAACAACCAGAAGGAGTTTTAGGGTGAGAAGATTATGGGAATCCCTCATCTATTTTGCCGCCTTTTCTTACATATCTAGCATAATTTAATGTCAAGTGTGTGTTTGAGCCCTCTTATTTTCTTTGTTTTTCCACATAGGGTGGCAGTCTTTTCCTTTCTTGCTGCCCAAATGACCATATTTTGTTGCCTGATGGTGTTTAAGTTCCAAAAATGTCACATGCAGGCTGGCATTCTATTTTTGTCATAAGTGGCTATTCGTACATGTAGGGCTGCACATGCAGAACCAGAGTGCCAACCTGCGTGTAGGTGGCACTTTTGCTTGGCATTCAGAAATAGATGCTAAGGATGGCATTCCATTCTTTTCTGGATTCAGAGGCGCCTGTCTGGAACGCTTGTCCGAGTGGCTCTTTCTGTATGGGTCTCTCTCTTTCATTTGCATTTCTTCTGGTATACAAGATTAAACTATATTTTCATTTCCGGAAGTGGTCACTCTGGGTGTAGGCTAAGCCAAAGAGAGTGCTTTGAAGCAGTCTGTGCGCTATCTGTAGATGATGTTCTGTGACTGAAGGAATTCATTTTTAGTGCTTACCTTAAGAAATTAAGTTATGCCTCTTTCCACTAAGCTAATGTTTAACTTCTTTTAGGAAAAGTATTCTTCTAGTAAATTGTTTCTCAAATAATAACTTTATGTTACAGATCAGTCATGTCATCCTTTCAAGAAGTTCCATCTTCAAGTAATGCTTTGCAGACTTCCAACTTTGCACATGTGATCTTTCAAAATGTGGCGAAGAGTTATCTTCCTAATGCACACCTTGAATGCCATTATACTCTGACACAATATATCCATCCTCACCAGAAAGATTGGGTTGGTATTTTCAAGGTAAGCAATTGGTACTCTTTCTCCCCCCTCTGCCCCCCTCCAATATGTTGTGTTGTATATTTTTGATTACATGCATGAGGTTTTCTGGCAGTTTTTAAAGTAGCTGTTCACTGGTCCTGGTCCAAATTGTGTATTGTAACCGATTTCCGCTGTGACTTATTTCATTAGCTCAATAGGTGGATGTTTATGCAGTGGAACTAACCTGCTGATTCAGGGTTTCCAACCTTGCTGACTCATGTGGGTGCCAGTACAAAGTCATGTGATTTTTAAATTCCTAGTTTGTGTTATTAAAAACAACCCATAGGGAATTATGCACAAGCATCAAACTACACCAGGAAGTTCTTACTAATGTTGTAAAGTCCAGCACTAAAATTTAGGAAAATCCTGCTTAACAGCTCCAAGGTGTATTTTGATACAGTTGCTAATTGATCACATACAGGTCTTTCTACAAGACTTCTGCCTTGTTCTGTGCACAGGATGTATGGGGATTACGTAGCAGGCAGATGTTCAATATTTTGTTTAATTCTTGTTGATCATGTGTAACGTGCTTTTATTTACTGCATGCCATTCAAACCTTGCCCAGAATCCAGAATTATTAATTTGCTATGTTGCTTATCTCTTGTGTTATCTAAGTGCTTCATAAACATGAGTGGTTTTATTTTCATAACCTCTCCCAGAGGTGAGGATGCTGATTATCCCTGGAGAACTGAAGCAGAGAGAGATTCAAGTAAAAACTGTGTGTTAATTCTGGGTGCTCAAGTTGACAGTTTTCCAGCTTGCTTAGCATAAATAGCACTTCATATGTTCAAAGCATAGTTCCCATTGTCTTCAGCTGCAGCTGTGAGTGCACAGCAGTTCTACAAATCAGACCCCAATTGGATATCCAGAAAATGAGGAACATAATTAGGGATGGGTTGTGGAGGACGTTGGTTCAGTAATTTGCCTTTTTATCATGTTGGACATCTTTATCAAGGGTAGAGAGAAAATCCAGTTTTTTAGGGTAGCAGTCGCTTACCTGAATTGCGAAGCCACGTTTTCTTTTATGTAAACTCTTGCCTCTTTCGTTATGTAACTTTCATCTTCTGCATCAAAGGAGGCAGAGGTTCTACAGACAATAGCCACCTTTGCAACTCAACCGTGATTCATTTCCATAGTTTATCTGTTCTTTGTGTTGGATGAAGTTTGGATGCCGTGGAAAAATATGTAATCATGTAACTAAAATGTCAATAAGTATGCGCAATGGGCTGAATTATGTTTGCACAGAAAATGCAAATGGTTATTTGCATTTTTAGAGTTCTTTTAGCATTTTTGCATATATTATTAGAAAAGTAGGACGGGTGGCTTATTTCATATTTCCCTTCAAAAATATATTGTCTCCTTTTGTTTTTTAAACATAGCTTAAATTATGAATACGCTTTTTATATTACTATCTATTTTAGAAGAATTATTTTGTGCACCTGCATAATTGATGACAATGAGGACATAGGAGAACATTGGCTTTTGTATCTTTACTTCTTGCCAATAGATCTAGATCAAAGGTAGCAGTAGAAGGAAATATGGAGCTTAAGAGCTTGGAGTTAGTTTCCTTATAGTTGATTCCTCTGAAGTGTTCCTTCTGTCTCTCTCAGACCTCTGGCAGATGCTCATTTAATGACATGTCATTTCATTCCTTATCCCAGCAGTCACGTCTCTTGCCTGACCAAACATTCGTGGCAGGATGCATGGGATTGGGATCAGGGATCAGATCCCAGTTGTACCCTTTCTATTTGTCAGTGCAGGTGGAGCCCAGGATCATAATTCTAGGCATTACTTGCACTGGTAAGTTCAAAGCTGGTGTTGCATGGCTCTGCAAGGGCCATATGGGAAGCTGATCAGGTCCTCCTACATGGCAAGTTCAAAACGGATGAGCTTCTCCCGGGTGGCACTTCCGTGCAAGTGCATGGCTTTGAACTTGCTGTGTTGGGGAGTAGCTCATTGACTGATTGTTGGAATGGGGATAGGACAGCCTGGGTCTTCAACTGGGCCAGAGTTGCACTCCTCCTGATGTTGACAGCTAATTGACAGTACAGTGTGTTGGGATGGTATTTGGCAGCATGGGGTGCTTCACCTTCAGTACAGGGCAAAAGGCCAACCAGCCATGAAGATGTTCTACATTATAGGTGTTCTATGTGGCTTCTTTCTCATTTTATCACACCATTAATTGCTTAAATGTTACTATTTATGGCCCCATAAACACATTAATAGTGCCACAGAGGTAACATCTGCCAGTTCCCTTAGATGACTGTCTTTTGGGTGTCCTATTTTCTGCTCTGGTTGACAGTGTCTTTGTATCTGTGTGTTGGGGGAGTGAGAAGGGGAAATAGTTGTAAAGTATTCCTTGTGTGCTTATACGTGGGCAGGCTCTCTTTCTCTCATATACATGTATGTCATACATACAAATATATATGGATTTTTCTACACTAGAAACCTTTTACTTAGCTGTCCTGTCCAAAATGACTTCCTCTCCACCCCCACCATCCCAAGTATGAATGTAGTTACATTGCTATGAACGTGCTCGTATCAGTGTAGTTTATTTAGGAGGTGTAAAGTCATACTAGTGTAATCTTTACCATACCTTTTATAAGAGTATAACTGCATTCACGCTAAGGCTTATACTGGTATGTCTGTAGTAATGAAAATATCATGATTATATCAGTGGTTAGAGGTACTGTGAGAATTTTTGTTGTGTAGAACCGGCATTAAGCTGACATTTTAACAAAGTGGTGTAACCTCTGCTAATCTTTATTCCTTTTAATATAGTTGGCTTTCTTTTAGGAATGGAGGAGAAGTGGCTGTTCCTTCACATTAGGAATATATTCAAATGAGAAGTTTGCTTGTCCTTTTAAAAGCTTCAGATTTCATGCTGGATTACTGTAATAGGAAACTGACTGGAAGGAGGGAGACTGAGAATGAAATGTCTGCTTTGTGTGATTCAAGTCAGGGCTTGAATCTCTGTCTCATAGCTTGGGTGCCTATCCCAACCACTGTGCTGTTGACTGTTCTTGAGCTCATAATCTCTCTCTGTCTTCAACTAGATATTTCAGTTTTTTTAAACTGATGTGCTCATTCTCATCAACAGTTCTGACTTCAGTGAATCAACCAAATGAGTCAATTTTCTAATATAGAGTTTTCTAGATATTTTCTGTGAGAGGTACTCAATGCTAGGTATAAATAAGCCATTAAATCTTGACATTATATCTCCAGATTAGTTAATAATTTAAGCTTTAAGGTCAGTCAAATTACTTTACTTTTTCTACAGATAGGTACAGTGGATTCCCCATATACCCACTGGATATATGGGAGTAACAGTTTAGTGTTGTAGCCAGTGGACTGTGCAGAAGTGTGTGTGTGTGTGTGTGTGTGTGTGTGTGTGTGTTTTTTTTTTTTAAAAAAAAAGGGGGGGGGGAGAGGACTGTCTCCTTACATAGATGCTTTTAAGTAATTTAAGCTTGGACAGAAATTGGAAAAAGTATCTGAGTTTATTCAGTTGAGTGCAACAGAGTAAATCCAGTACTTGAAGTAAAATGCATATAAGTTTGAAGAATGGACGTTCCAGTGGGAACCCTCAAAGGGATGATATTTTTATAAATTGCAATTTATTTATTTTTTTTAAGTATAGTAAATGTTGCAGTAACTACCATTTGAATACACTTGAGATAACACTTGATGTATATTATTTTAAAATTATAACAAGGGACTAGTATACACAAAGCAACAAAATGGGAAAGTAGTGGATAGCGGGCATATATTGTTAATTTAGTGAATTTTAATTTTGGAAAATTTGTGCATTTTGAATATAAATAATGATGTTTTAAAAAACTTCTAACAAGTAACATATTTCATATCTGAAGTCATTTAAATGCTAACTTCAACTGTTTGCATCTTGTATTTAGGAAGCTATTAGTATATGTTATAGTGTTTCTGTCAAAACACTGTTTTGTTTACAAAAAAGTCCCAGCCTCCGCCCCCCCTCCCCCAGCATTGCATATTTCCCTTTTAAACATTCTGTGGCCACACGATACTGGTACAGGCCACGTTAAACAGGATGCCTAAAATATCTCGACCACAGCTCTAAATCAAACGTTTAACTAGCCTTAAAAAGGCTTATTAGGATAGAACTAACACCTGAGTAGTTAATGATCTTATTCTGTTTTATGGATTAGTTCATACATCATAGTCCAAATATTTGCATATAGTTTATTTTGATAATAGTTACAGAAGAAAATAATATTTTTATGTGAATGTTTTCATCCTACATGAATAGAAATAGCAGATAAGTCTACTATTCTAGTATAATTTACATAATGAAGCCAGCTGACACTCTGTGTGTGTGTGTGTGTGTGTGTGTGTGTGTGTGTGTGTGTGTGTGTGTGTGTGTGTTAAAATATGGTAATTGCTTAGAATGAAGCAGTATCTCTAGTCAAGAAACTCTGTCATCTTATTGACCTCAGTTGATTCAAGATGAAACTGTACTGTGGTCAAAGTATACTATTAAAGATTGCTTTAGGATTGTTTGGTAAATTGATTACACGGTTTCCTGTTATGGACTTTAGGTTGGTGAGTGATAAGAGTTTGAAGAATATGACGTGTGCCTAGTGAAGTTACGAATATCAAGCATTTTAACAAGGGAATCATTAAAAAGAATGACTTATGACCTTTTGTTGGGTTGCGATAATGTGGATAAGGAGAAGTACGCTTGCTGTTATTGAAGGTAGAAGGACTTTGTGCAGAGAATTAATTGCTCTCTTAGAGGACAGTTCTGTGTAAGCCAACATGCACTGTTGTATAAGCTTCCCTGGAACCTGAGAGGATGTCATTGCTATTGCAGCTGAGATACTTGTGGGGTTAACAAGTCTCTCCTCTCTGTATTTACAAAGATCTACAGAAATCTTTTCTTTCCTCCAAGCCCCTAACATGAATATAGGAGGCTATAGAGATAACAAGGAATTGATGCCTAGTAC